ATAGCGATGGCTTCCAACCTAATAGCGATGGCCTCCAACCTAATAGCCATGGCCTCCAACCTAATAGCGATGGCTTCCAACCTAAGAAAAGCCTGATCTGATGAGAGCGCACAGAGCATCTCAAGAGAGCTGGCGACAGACCACTCTGCCAGCCACTCACCTGTTAACCTCGCCAAGTTTGGGCCCCGGTGCTTGGTCACTGTCCCAAAAGATACATTAGATAGACAGACAGACAGACAGACAGATAGAGATTCAACCCTTTTTTCCACTCTGAAACGGGATGATTCAGCTGATTCTGGTGGAGAATTTACCTCCTGGAATCCTGTTCTTTTAGCTTCGTGCGTCTTTCTGCACCTACCAAACCTCCTGTACCCCAGCCGATTCGATTGGCGATGTGGTGGGTTGGATTGTGCGCAAGTTGTTGAAGATGGAAACAGTCAAACAGCGAACCGCGCAACCAAAAAATGAATGCACTTCAAGGGCATGGCAGTTCATCTCAGAAGGCCCCAAGACACACACAAAAGAACTTGGCTGTGTGGTTAGTACTAGGGCTTCAAGACAGTATTTCAGCCGATTCACATGCAAGTCTGCAGCTGCCAGGTATTTCCCGAGGTTGGTCCAGTCGAAGGAGATGAAATTGGCACGCTGAGCGATGCTGGTTGATCCAAAGGATGCGACGAACCACGAACGCTCCGAGGACGTGTTCAGCACGTTCAAGACATGTCCCAAAAGGAGATCTCGTCCTGTCGAATAAGAAAAAAGAAAGAAGGAAAGAATACTAAAGTTGACTAAAGACACATTTCCCTGAGAATAAAAAGTATATAGTGTGTGTATATATATTTATTTATGTATATGAGAACCGTTTCCTACACCTTTCTCTGGCTTTTGATTCCTCTATTAACTACTGTATGCACATGAGGTAGTGAGATCCCCACAGAATGAGCAACATCAGCACGAATGAGGTTGATCGCAAGCCAGCGAATGTTGTTTGAATGCCTGTTGCAGGTGCGAGTGCACGTATTCATACAGCTTTCACAAAATCAACTCTGCCCTCGAAAACGTTCTGAGCATCTTACAGGTGCAGGTGCCACTAGCTGACTCAAGCCACTAGCTAGTCACTAGCAACCTTCCCCACCAAAAAGGTATAAAAAACATGAACAACTAAAGAAGGTACTTGTGCTTGTGTTCTTCTCTGTCTGTCATGTCTGTGTCTTTGTTTTTCGTCCTGTCTTGCAAGGATCTGATCCAAAGACAGTGATCATGAAGTCTTCAGACCTTAGATGATGCTCAGCCCGAATGATCTGCCGGAGCTGGTTTCGATTCTGCGCCGTGAGCCCTTCATGAAGTAGACTGACCTTGGCAGCTTGTGAAAGCATAGGTTCTTTACAGATAAAAAGGTCGAGTCTTTAGGTCGCTACTAGGAACTAGTAGCTTCTTGTTATTAGTAGTAGGAATGGCCTCCAACCTAATAGCGATGGCCTCCACCTAGTAGCATCTTGCTACTAGTAAATAAAGAAATAAGCAATCAATGAATCTTGTGAATCTCACCAACATTGCTTTTGCATGGCATGTTTCACAATGTGACTCGTCGCTCCTCCCTAAACCCGCAAGACGCCGGAAACACAGGGCCCCGGCATTTCGTACAAATGGTCGAAGAGTTGTGAAGTGCCCATGGTCTTGTTGCGACCACTCTCTCTGGCGAGCAGCACTGGCAAAAACCACTTTGTGAGCTTTGGCCATAGCCTTTCCAATCTGCTCTGTCTCCCAACTGGTCTCCTCGCGCTGTTATAAGATGGGAGTGAACAAAGCTCGCTAAAGGCTGGGAAATGACCAGCCGCCTGTGAACGTGTTCCGAGTTGCGAGGCACAACTGGCCACCACCGCAACGAAACCGGTAGGTGTAGTTGCCTCCAACCTAATAGCAAAAGAAACCTAAGAGCGATGTCCTCCAACCTAACAGCAATGGCGTCCAACCCAAGAGCGATGGCCTCCAACCTAAGAGCGATGGCCTCCAACCTAAGAGCCATGGCCTCCAACCTAAGAGT